TCCACACATATCCTAGGGACCCGTGCCCCTGCTCCGCTGGGGAAGCAGAGCCCAGCAGCCCCTTCCCTCTGCTCAGCCCTGCCTCTGCCCTGAAGCACTCTTATCCCTCGCCTTCGTCTCCCTGATGCTTTCCCAGGAATTCTCCCCCAGCACGAGGTGTTTAAATCATTTATGAGGGAATAAAATAGAGCTGGCTCCCTTCCAGGCGCTCTGGCATCCAGGCTCCGTAAACAACCCACCCGCCAAGGGAGTCAGCTTGGAAAAAAGGCTTTTTATGTCTATTCCCCAGACCCCACTTTCACAGAAACCTTCCGGCGTGATCCTTTCTCAACTGTAAGTGCAGCAAAATTGTTTCAGGCAGTCGCTGACCTTCCTTTTCCCCCAGGCACACTCATGGACATCTCACTTCTACTCATGGATGGAAAACCAGAGGGAGCCTCTGCAAAAAAAAAAAAAAATAATTACCTGATGTGAGAAGTCTAATGTGACTTTCCCTGCTTTCATAGTTCCTAGGTGCTCTTTCAGAGGCAACCTCCTTTTTTTAATCGCTTTGACCTTTACGGGGATAGGAATTCACCTGGGAATTTTCTTGTGGCTGCTGAGCCACAACAGACCAGCAGGAACTCAGCGGGAGAATCAAGAGGACATTTATTTCTTAGGCTGCAACTGATTCACTGAAAATCGCTGGGATGCAAGTGAATAATGTCAGCTATCAGAGCACAGCCCAGCTTCCCAAATCCCAACCATGCTGGGGGAGCAAGGTCCGAGACAGCCAGGAGATCAGCTGCAAGAGTCCCCCAGCATCTCTTTCCACCACCAGGGTCTGTGGCAGCTCTCAGCCACTCTCACCAGGCCTCCCGACCCACAGAAACACCCCAGGAGCTGGAGCTCCTGCCCTGTGACTCCCCAGGTGACCACCAGCAAGTCTATTAAAGTCCCTACTCCTGTCCCGTAGAGGCAGGACGCAAGTGCTGCAGCCTCGCCCTGCCTGCACGGTGCTGGGATGGGGTTCACCACACCAGTGGATAAACCTCCAGAGCCCTCGTTAGCACCAGGAGGAAGGGGAAGGATGCAGCTCCCCGGTTCCTCAGCTGCCGGTGCGGCACAGCAAAGTGGAGCGGCACTTGCAACGGTCCATTCTGCGGCACAAAGCAGAGCCACCCCCAGGAGGGTGACAGGGAGGGTGACAGGGCTGCTTGGAGGGATTAAAGAGAAACAACCCATCACCTAAATGCACCCTGTCCTAGTGCTGGGAGCTCCTGTGCACCCCGCGAGGGTTTTATTCCCACCAGTGTGGATATCAGTGGGTCTGGGGTCTCCCTGAAGAGTGCCACAGCAGGAAACGAAGCCTCTTGTGAAGAAAAATAACCCTCAACCAGATGATGAGCCACATGCAGTTGCAATCCAGGAAGTCCCGTCCCCCCCCGCTTCCACCTTCTCCTGGGTTTTGCTGGTGGCTCCGCGGCAGGCGGTGGCCCCTGTCCCATGCTGGGGAAAGGCTGCAGCTCCTGCCCACCCCGGCATGTCCTGCTTCAAGGGGCACATTCAGCAGAGCTAGATGCCAGCCAAGGGCCCGCGCCGTTCCCCACACCCCTGCCAGCGCGCTGACAGGGTGTAGATGTCCCTCCCGGCGCGCTGGCCTGGGGTGGAAGCGGTTTGGTAGGGCTGGTGCTGGGCACGAGTCAGGCGTGTGTGATCGGCGTGAGAGGATCTGAATCAGCACTCTCTGGGGAAACAGCAGAGGATGGGTGCTGGGAGCACGGGGTGCCCGGCGCGGCAAGGGCTGCTGGAGCAGGGAGCTGGGAGAGCTATGGGGCAGCAAGGATCAAGCCCCAGGCCCGAGGACCATCCCTCCCCCAGCGCTGGGCCAGAGGAAGGCAGTGGTGAGGAAGGCTGATGCCTGTGCCTCAGCGCTACGGCACAGCCCGGCGGCAGCCCCCAGGTCGTGGGTCTATGTCCACTTCTGCCGAAAGGCAGGCAGAGTGATTTTCGTCTCACAGCGCTCCCTCCCCAGTGCCACAAGATGCTGCTGTTACTTGTTACCATCTGTTATTTTTGCAGTGTCAAAAATGCCTCCCTGCCGAGCACCAGCCCATGAAATACACACGCCGTGACCTCCCCCTTTCCTAACTGCCATCTCATCACTCACTAAATCCCCTTCTCACCTATTTGTCTTGCATTCAGATTTGTTTCTTTACATCTTATGCTTTTCATCAAAACCAGCCTCTCCCCGGCTCAGTGCCGTTGCTGGTGCAGCCAAGTGTGCCCGCTGAAGGACTCGGGTGCGTGTTGCCATGCCTGGGGCACATTCCCTGCGCGGGATATGGCAGTGTGGTTGCATTCGTGATGTGGGTACCCGTGCTGTGGGCTGGACCGGGCTTCCCACGCCACGCCTGAGCCAGCTGCAGCCACCGTGGAGCAGCACTGGGAGCAGACCTTGAGCATGCACCGTCCCCTCTGCGCCAGCAGCGGCTGCCTGGACGTGGGGGGCTATGGGGACGGTGGCCTGAAGGACATAAGGTCACAGCCGAGGGGTATGGGGAGCTGGGGGTCAGTGCTCTGCAGGTCCTCACGGCAGCCTTGAGCATCCCTTGTCGGTCTCCCCGGCATCGGCGGGGCTGCCAGCTCAGGGATCCCCTCTGCTTTGGGAGCAGCCATCCTGAGATAAACACCATCAGATTTCACTTTCCAATGAAACGTGGCTTTCTGACATTACATTTTCGCATTCGGATCTGAGACTAGAGTTCCTCCGGAAACTCAGCCCTGCTCATGCACCACGAACTCCCCCTCCGTGCCTGGAGGCTCCACCGACGCTGCAGGGCTCCCAGCTCTGCCAGCACAACGGGCAGCACTCAGAAACTTTCCCTGATAAGCTCAGGTGGGTATTTCCCGAGGATGACTGATGCCATGAGAGACTTTCAAGGGAATTTTCTGTGTGGCACCTGGCTGAGAAATGAGCTCCCTGCCACAGCAGGGAGGCCTGGCTGTGCCTGTTGGTTAACAGGGAGCATGGCTTGGCCTGGCACCACTGAGGCTAAAAAAGGAGCAAAAGTTACAGCTGATTAAAAGTTTTTAATTGCAGCAGTAGCGTCTGCTCCTCAGGTTTTAATATAGCTCGGTGTAACACTGGCTTTGTTTTCCTCAACAGGAGTTTGAACTGTGCCTAAGATTTCATGTGCACAACCTCGTCATGGCAAGGAACTTGAGGTGAATTATTTTGCCCTAAATAGCATGAAAGAGTTAATGCAACACAGGAATATTTTGAAGGAAATTGTTGCTTTTTCATAGCTAACTTTTTACCCAGCTCTGTTAGGGGGCAATGACACTGCCTGGGTCTCACCATGGGAGGATGAGACGTCCCAAAAGGAAACCTTGCAGATTTGCTCAAGGAACCTCCCTGGTTTCACTGCTAATTACAATGCCAGTGCTGGGGCACGGAGGAAAAAACATTTGCTGCAGCTCATTTTTCCTGTACTGCTGGCCCTGTGGTAGCTGTACCTCATCCAGACGGGGCCAGACTTTTACAGCAGTTACAGTTGGCCGGACTGGGGGTTGCTTTGGGAAAGTTTTGCATCTCAGCTGCCGAAGCCTTCTCAAAGCTTCGGGCTCTTCCTCTCCACCCCACTCAGGACGTAGTGGGGGACCACCGACCACCCCAGCAAACCTCGCAGGCCTGCTGCTGCCTGCGCTGAGCATCCCCAGGCACAAGATGTCACTGAGGAGCTGGGTTTGGGCAGGTCTGCATCAGCCCGGAGTCATCCTCCGGGAGCCACCGCAAAATTGGGGCTGAAGAAGTGGACATGGGCATGGAGAGGGGACACGGTCACGGAGAGGGGACGTGGGCCCAGAGAGGGGATGTGGGGACAGAGAAGGGATGTGGGTAGGGAGAAGGGATGCAGCTGTGATACTCGCTGCCGCAAAACAGTTCTGCCAAAAGGAAGGGAGGTCCCCGCTCTCTGCTCCCTGGGCCAAGAGTCAGGAGCGTATCTGGCCGTGGGGTGCCAGGAAGGTGCTGGGTGATCTCTGGAGTTCAGCACTGGGTGTGCCCGGGAGGAACAGCGTGGGCAAACTCCTGCCAGGAGCAGCACGGACACTCGGCTCTGCCTGGGACCCTCCCAAGGCCCTGCCAGCCCTCTCCGCGGCACGGCTCCATGGGGCAGGGGAAGCCCACCTGCCCCAGCCCGTGCTGAGGGGACCAGTCTGCTGGCTCAAGCCACCCCAAGCACCCAAGAACCCCGACCAAACGGGGGAGGATTCAGCTGAAACCCCCAAATTATTCATGCGTAGACCGGGAGGGGCAAGCACAGGGTCTTGCAACAACATCTCTCCCATGACTGGTCCCCTGGGTCTGAGATCCTTCCCCAAGGGCCTCCTAGCTCCGGGGGGGGGGGGCTGGACACGCCGCAGCCTGCCCCGGGGATTGCTCTGAGGGGACGGGGACCCTTTTTGGGGCACCCTTTGGCCCTCCCTGGGGCTGCTCCGAGGGGTCAGGAGCCCCTTGGCCCTGCAGGATTGACCTCAGTGCTCCCCACAGGGCCCCTCCGGTGGGATGGTGACCGCTTCAGGGCTCCCTCGGGACCTCCACAGCTCTCCTTGGGGGGGTCCTCCAAGGGCACGGGGGCAATCTTTGCCCCCCCCCCCCCTTGTCCCTCCCCAGCGCTGCTCCAAGGGGATGGGGGGTCCCTTCAGCCGCGCCCAGGGCTCCCCTCGGGGGTTTCTCGGAGGTGAGCGCGGGGAAAAGCCCCGCGGGGGGGTCGGCGGGAGCCGGGGCTGGGCGCTCCCGGTGCCGCGGCGGAGGCGGGGCGGAGCGGCGGCCGCGCCGTGCGGGGAGCCCCGGGGGGCGGCGCCGGGCGGCCGGTACTTAAAGCGGCGGCGCGGGGGGGAGCGGCCCCGCCGTGCCCATGGCTCCGCCGCCCGCCGCCCGGGCCCTCCGCGCCGCCGCCGCCCGCCTGGGCCGCCCCCCCCGCCGCCCGAGCTCCGCGCCCGCCGCCGCGCCCCGCGGGGCCGCTCCACCGCCCGCGGCCAAGGGGGGGGCCCGGCCGGTGCCGCCTCCGCGGGGTGCGGAGCGGGGATTGCCGCCGCCGCCGCCGCCCCCCGCCGCCGTGGATTTCGGAGACCCGCGGGAGGCGTTCCGCAGCAAGAGCAGCGCCGAGCTGCTGCGCGGGCTGGTGGTGCTGGGGCTGTGCGCTGTGGGGCCGCTGGTGGAGCACAACCGGGAGGTGGGTGGCGGGGGGGGGATGCCGCTCCGGGGGTGGGGCGCCGATCCCGGGCCAGACGGGGGGTGCCGGGCCGGGGGGGGGGGGGGCTCTCGCTCCCCGGGGGGTGCCGGTGCCGGGCCGGGGGGGGGGGGGCTCTCGCTCCCCGGGGGGTGCCGGTGCCGGGGGGGGGGGGGGCTCTCGCTCCCCGGGGGGTGCCGGTGCCGGGCCGGGGGGGGGGGGCTCTCGCTCCCCGGGGGGTGCCGGGCCGGGGGGGGGGCTCTCGCTCCCCGGGGGGTGCCGGTGCCGGGCCGGGGGGGGGGCTCTCGCTCCCCGGGGGGTGCCGGTGCCGGGCCGGGGGGGGGCTCTCGCTCCCCGGGGGGTGCCGGTGCCGGGCCGGGGGGGGGCTCTCGCTCCCCGGGGGGTGCCGGTGCCGGGCCGGGGGGGGCCTCTCGCTCCCCGGGGGGTGCCGGTGCCGGGCCGGGGGGGGACTCTCGCTCCCCGGGGGTTGCCGGGCCGGGGCCGGGCTCTCGCTCCCCGGGGGGTGCCGGTCCAGGGCCGGGGGGGGGCTCTCGCTCCCCGGGGGGTGCCGGGCCGGGGGGGGGCTCTCGCTCCCCGGGGGGTGCCGGGCCGGGGGGGGCTCTCGCTCCCCGGGGGGTGCCGGTCCAGGGCCGGGGGGGGGGGGGCTCTCTCTCCCCGGGGGGGGCTGTCGCTCCCCGGGGGGTGCCGGTGCCGGGCCGGGCGCTGAGTGGCCGTTGTCCCGCAGCTGCTGCAGCTGTGCCGGCGGGTGCTGGGGCAGGCGCTGTTCGAGCGGCTGATGAAGATGACCTTCTACGGGCAGTTCGTGGCCGGGGAGGACCAGGAGGCCATCAAACCGCTCATCCGGCGGAACCAGGCCTTCGGGGTGGGCGCCGTGCTGGATTACAGCGTGGAGGAGGACCTGAGCGCCGAGGAAGCCGAGCGCAAGGAGCTGGAGTGAGTGCGGGGGGGGGGGGGGGGGGTCCGGGGAGGGGGCGGGCGCGGGGCTCGGCCGCTCTGCTATTGGCTGCGCCCGCCCATCCCCCCGCTCCCATTGGCTGCGGAGCCGGGGGTTGCGGGACGTCACAGCCCCGCCTCTCGGTGCGCTCAGCTCCCCCCCCCCCCCCCCCCCGCATCCCCAAACGCGCCGGGGTGCTGCCCCCACGCCCCAGCACGCAGAAGGGTGCTGTCCCGTATCCCCCCCCCCCCCATCCCTCTGCACACCCAGAGGTGCTCCCCACCTCAATTCACCCCCCACACACACCCCTTCTGGGGTGCTGCCCCCCATCCCCCTTTCACCTACCCCCCCTGGGGTCCTGTCCCCCTCCACCCCCTTGCACACACTGGGGTGCTGCCCCCCCCCCCCCCCCCCCCCCCCCCCCCATTTCTGCCCCAAGTTCCTGCCCTCTCCAGCCCCCCACCACGCTGGGGTGCTTTCCCCCACCATTTCCACCCCCCTCAAGCCGGGGTGGTGCCCCCCCCTTCCCACATTTCCCCCCCCTCCATCTCGGGCAGCCTTCCCTGCCTCCCGCCCTTTGCCAAGGGCAGGCACCAGCCCAAAGCCGCTGGAAACTTTCCACTATTCCAGCTCCAGTTTCGGGCAGCTCCGCTCACCCAATCGATGGGGCCACTGGCCGGCACCCCACGGTCACTGGGGTGGGCGGTTTGTCGTGTGTGTGTGTCCCGGGCAATGCTGCAACAACCCCGTGTCCCTGTTCACAGCCAGGGACACTGTCCTGCTGCCGCACGGTGTTAAAAATACAGTGGAAACAGCTTTTTGGGGTGATTTGCCAGTGGGGTTTGGTGATGCAGGTGCTGCTGCTGGGCTCCTCCTCCTCCCAGCCGCGCCGGCAGCCTTATCTCTGCTCCCCACTCGGGTGCTGCTTATCAGGGACCCCCCCACTTGTCCCTCGTGGCCTGGCAGCCCTGGTGTGAGAGCTGCACAGGAGGGAGGCAGGGCTGTGCCCGTCCCAGCGCTTTGTAGACTGAGCTGCAAACTTTTTTTCTTTTTAATATAAAATCTTCAAAATACCCTGCTGCAGCCCGTGGCGGGGGGGCGGATGGCTCGGAGCAGTGGTTTTTCAGGAGCGGCTGGTTTCTTCCCCGGGCATGCAGCTGTGGTCCAGGCACGTGGCTCAGCATCCCCGGGGGGGCTGAGCTGGCCCCCGGTGTGACCCGGCGGTGCCGGTGCTGCCAGGCTGGCATCGCTGCCCTCCTTGCTGTGGCTGTGCCTGTGCCAAGTGCTTTCTTGTGGCTGACCGCCGCGGGCTTTGGCAGGCAGGTTCCTGCCTGTACCTGTGCCCTGCCTGCTCACGGGGCAGGCAGGTGTCGGGGGGGGGGTGGGAGGGGGTTGCGAGCTGGTCTACCCCTGGAGCAGATCTGGGGGTCGCATGTGTGGGACTGCTGGCTAGATGAGCTCTGCCTGTGCTGTGTGGGGGTCATTCCCACCCACGAGAGCTTGGCAAAGCCACACACTGGACCCTGTTCCCCAATGCCACCCGAGCTCCGGTGGGATTTGCCCCAACAAACGAGGGGGGATGATGACTCTGGAGCTACATCCTTCCCTCCCGTGAGTGCTTTGGGGCTCTGCCGTGCCGCCAACCGGGAAGCAGAGGTACAAACCAGATGCAGTCAGCAGTTTGTTTGGCCTTCTGGTGCCATCTGCTGTTGTCTCCCTCAGGCAGAGCCGTGCTGGGCTTACCAGTGCAGTTTGTTCTTCTGGAGCAAGCTGGAGATAGCAGGGAAATGCCCTTTCCTCTCCAGCAACGGGTCCTGGCCACTCCTTGTCCCAGGCTTTCTGGTTGGGAACAGCAATGCAACGCATGCAGGCACTGACTTACCCTGCCTGCTGCAGGCTCATCCCTGCCCTGCCCTGCCTGGGCTGGCACCCAGAGCTCTGCCAGATTGTCCCGGGGGTCCTTGGCCACGTGCTGAAGGCTGCTGCCAGCTCAGGGTGACACGGCACAGAGCCTGGGTGCTGCTCCACGCCCAGGGCAGCCCGTGGGCTGGGGGCTTTGGGATGGGTGCAGCCCGGGCTGGGCTGTGGAGGGGCAGCGCTGTGGCTGGGCGGGGGCTTCTGTTCCCTGTGGGGTGAAACAAGGACCCCCCCCCACAGTAGGGGTGGTTGTAGTCCCCTTGCAGCCTTGGGGCCGTTGCTGGCCCGTGGGCATCCCAAGCCAAGAGATGGGTTGGGGTTGTGCTAACGTGGGGAAGGACAGTCCTGCCCCCAAGCGCTGTCAGACACCTGAACAGCTCTGCCACGCAGCACGTGGACTTTGCTTTAGACCTCTAGAGATTTCTTGCGTGGACACCTGATATCTGCCCCAGTGTGGGATTACGATCCAACCTGGCCAATCAGCCTCCCACAGCGGCCACCTCCCCTTCTCCTCCTGCTCCCAGTGCTCTGCCCGCAGGTACTGCGGGTCCCTGGGATCACAGGGTGGTTTTTGGTTAGCATGAAGCTGTGCAAGGAGGTCCTGCGGTGGTCCTGGGCTGGTGCATGCTGCAATCCATGCATGGGACAGGCTTGAAGAACTTTATTCTGCCAAGAGCTTTGCTTTATTCCTACCTGCAAGGTTTTAAGCATCACCCATAGCTCCAGTCTGGGCTTCATGTGACCATGAGCTTTTCCTTGGATGTGGTAATTCAGGGACAGCTTTTCCCTTGTTCCCTCATCCCCTTTGCCAGACCTGTCTGCTGACGAGCAAAGCAAATGCGCTGTGCTCATGGAACCCTCCTGGTAACCTCCAGGGTGAGACGGATTATTGCCGACTTATTTCTGACAGGGGGACCTTTGTGCTTCTCCTGAGATGGTTTATTTGAGCCTGATTTAAAAAAAAAAAAAAAAAACAAAAAAAAAAACTTCCTGAAAGCCCCAGTCTGCTGTGTCAGCTGGACTACTCTTTCCAGCAATCCAGCAGCCTGCATCAAGTCCTCCTAACCTGCTTTGCCGCACTTGGAGGACCTGCTTTGTGCATGCTTCGGGTGAGTGTGAGCGCCCAGGTCCTGAGCGTGCCTCGCAGGTGGCTCCTCTCTGGCTACAGCCCACCAGAAGCGTCTGGGCAGTGCCTGGAGATGTCCTGCTCTGGGAGACTTGCCCTTGGTTTGCGGAAGGGATGGCCAGGTATAAGCTGGGTTAAGTGGCACTTGGTGTAGGAATAACTTTGCTAGCCAAGACTAATATTGCGAAGCAAGCAGCTGATATCCAGCAAGAGCTATTTCTTCAGCTGGAAGGAGCTTCCTTTATTTTGCTTGACACAGAACAATAAAGCACCATGGCACTGCTTTGAATGCCCCCCCTCAGGGATGAAGGGCTCAGTGCAGTCATGCAGCAGGAATGCTCTTGGAAAGGGTGTGTTTATCTTCAGGAACACAAAACACTTCAAATTCAGGGGTGCTGTTTGCTAACTGAATTGTGTGCGTTCACCCTGGGTAGGTCGGAGGAGGCTTTGCTCCCTGCCACTCCTCCCCAGAGCCTCAGATGCTGGGTGCAAGGTGTGCTCTGAGGTTCACAGCTGGGCTGTGGTCGGGACCTGCCCACAAGACCCATCTCTCTCAACACGTCCTCGGGGTCGCAGCAGTATGGTCCAGCTGCAGCCTTCCCCTGCACCACGCTGCCTGCTCCAAGGGGACCTTCCGTCCTCTGTGGGCTTTGCTGTCTCACCCCATCCCTGGGTGTATGATGTCTCCTCCCTCCTTTCTTCCACCCTCTATTCAGGGGCAGAAAGCTTCTTGCCCTGTGCTCGGGGTAGCAAAATCATGGAGCAGAGCCTGCTAGACGTGGTGCCTGCTGCTCCCCATGAGCTCTGGCTGCTCCTGCCCCGGTTCACGCCAGGCTTTGCTGGGCTTTGAGCAACACGGGGCTGTTCCTGGCTCTGGGGAGCACTAGGCAAGGGCTTGTCTCAGCTTGTTTATACTTCCAGCATCCCCTAATCCCTGTCACAAGGTTTCCACGTGGGAGAACATGTTCTGGGACCATGCCACGTGCCTTTCCGCTCTCTTGTGTGACAACTCCGGCTCCGAACGGGTGGCTTTGCTGCTTATCTTGCAGTGTGCTCCCCCACTGTTGGGCACAACCAGTTTGGGGACAGTAACTCCAAAGCAAAGTTGTCCTGGAGGAGATGGCTCTGCTGTCACTCAGGGCTGCTCTCCGGGGGCTGGCAGTGTTCCTGGGTGTGCGGGCTGGATTTAGGGTGTCAGCAAGAAGACTTAGCTTCTCAAGCTCGAGGAGGATCTCATGACCTGGCCAGCATCCCTCGGGCTGTCAGAGCCCTGTTATCTCTGTGGCAAAGAGCTTGGGCTTGAAATTACATCTGGAGTTGAAGCTGAGACCTTGTTTGTAAGTTGTTGGCTAATGCCAAGGCACAGAGGAGCGGGGGCCAGCTGAGCTGCAGCAGGGCATCTTCTGTCTTGACATGCCCCGGGTCTGGAGGAGCTCCTCGCTTTGTGGGCTGGTGCCAGCGAGGTGGGGAGGCGTTGGGTTGAGGCTTGGTGCCACCACAGTGAGGACCATGGGCTGAGGTGGCTGGAGATGGAGCACCCAGCCCCACCAGGACTGACCTTGTCCTTGCCGTGGGGTGGGCTGTTTGAGAGCAGCTCTGGACCCTGGGATGGAACATCCTCCCTGTGGTACCCAGGGCCTCCAGGTAACACTTGCCTGGATATTGAAACTCCGAGGCCTTCCAGAAGGGGGGTTTGGGGCATCTGACCTGCCAGCGGAGCTCGTGCTGAGCAGCGTTTGATCCATTGGAGATGAGATGGTGAGGGAAGAGCAGGGTCCAGCGCCAGGCTGGCAGCAGGGGAGCCTCAGAGCTGCCCTGGTCACCAGCACTGGGATGCAGGGGGTTGCTGACCTGGCCCTTATCTTCCCTGTTTCTCTTCTTAGCTCCTGCACCTCTGCAGCCGAGAAGATGGGAGGTGAGTGACCCAGCCTCTCCTGCTAACAGGAGATAGCCTGAAGGTCCACCTGATCTGGGCGCTGTGGGCCTGGTGTGGGGGCAGGACCCAGTTCCCACAGCCTCAAAACACGAGCTGGATGAGGAACATCTTGGTTCTTGGCCAACCTTGCTTCCCAGCAAAGCTCAGCCTCTGCTCGGGCAGCAGAGCAGGCAGGGCACGTTGCAGCCCTCAGGGGCTCTTTTGAGGTCCAAGCCAGAGCCCCTCTCCCCTGTGCCCACAGCAGAAGCTCTTGGAGAGGCTTGGAAGGAGCTCAGCAGGGCTGCATGGCCCATTTCCATCCTCTTCCACCCCAGGAGCAGAACAGAGGGAGAAACAATACCAAGCCCATCGGGGATTTGGGGATCGCCGCGGTGGGGTCATCAGCGCCCGCACATATTTCTATGCTGACGAGGCCAAGTGTGACCAGCACATGGAGACTTTCCTGCGCTGCATCGATGCCTCAGGTAAGTGTTCCACGTGTCCCGAGCAGCCCCACTGTGCTTGGGGACCGCGGGGACCCTACGGCCCACCACCATATCTCGGGTGCCCCCCCTTCTGCCTCTTGGGCTAGCTTTGTCTTTGTGGCTCCATCCAGGTGGCAGCTCGGAGAATGGCTTCTCGGCCATCAAGCTGACAGCCCTGGGCAGACCTCAGTTCTTGGTGAGTGCCAGGGCTGTGACCAGGGTGAGGTGGGTCAGACCCAGGGCCACGGGTGATGCATCTGTGGGGGCAGGTGCTTTGGGGTGCCAGGCTTGCTGCAGTAGCATCTTTACGAATGGCAGAGAGGAGTGGGCATCAACGGGCTGTGCCCAAAACCACGCTGGAGACCCTGCCTCAACTTTTGGGGACGCATGAAGAGCTTAAAAGTTTAAAGGTCCCAACATGAGAACGTGGGGGGGTCGCTCCTGCTAAGCGTGGCCTCTGCTTGGCCAGGGTGCCCTGCTATAGGGTCAGGGTCTGCCTCAGGCTGGGTATGATCTTGCAAAGCCCTGGCATCGATCGGAGGCTCCAGCCCGGCTGTTTCACCTCGAGATCTGGCCCCACAGCTGCAGTTCTCAGAGGTGCTGGTGAAGTGGCGGAGGTTTTTCCACCAGATGGCCGCGGAGCAGGGCCAGGCTGGGCGGGCAGCGCTGGAGATGAAGCTGGAGGCGGAGAAGCTGCAGGTGAGGCCTGTGATGTCCGCGGGAGGAGGTTGTGCTGCTGGGGAGGGCTGGTGGCCGAAGGGCTCCTGGAGCAGCCCTGACCTGTGACACCTCTGAGCCTGGAGCAGCGAGACCCCTGTAGCCCCTTGGCACTGATGCTCCTTTTGATGGCAGGAGGCCCTGGCCAACCTGGGCATCGCAACCAAGGCGGAGAGCCAGCACTGGTTCACGGGCGAGAACCTGGGCATGAGCGGGTAAGCTGGCTGTGACCCCGGGGGGGGTGCTGCGGGATGGGGACACCGGGGGGGTCTCGTCCCTGTTCCCGGGGCAGCGGCAAGGGCAGGTCTCCAGAGACCAGCGCTGGCTCAGCACGGCAACCAAGCGTAGAGGAGGTTTGGGTGGAGGTGACAAGACAGATCGGGGTGGCACATGCTGTGCGCGCTGCTTGCTGGTGGGGGTCAGGAGCTGGTAGACCACCCCCCCTGCCCCTGCGAGACACCAGTACGGACCTGGCTCTCTGTTCCCAGCACTGTGGACCTGCTGGACTGGAACAGCCTGATCGACAGCCGCACCAAGCTCTCCAAGCTGCTGCTTGTCCCCAACATTCAGGTGGGTACCCATCTAGGCTACCCCTGGAGTGGCCCCACAGGGAGGGCACTGTGGGTTTGAGGGAGCAGCGTGCGGGTCCGATGCCCCCAGGCCTTGCCCAGTAGCTTGCTGGTGGCTGTGGGTGCTGGCTGGCATCTGTGCTGCCAGAGCCTGGCCGTGCTGTGATCCACCGGGTGCAGCCACCAAGCCGGCAGGGTGGGCACACTGCGCACGGGGGTGTTTCTGTCTCCCGTGGGCAGGGCTGGCCACAGGCGGGCAGGGTGCCCCAAGCCGTTCTCATTTCAGACTGGGCAGCTGGAGCCTCTGCTCTCACGCTTCACCGAGGAGGAAGATCTGCAGATGAAGCGGATGCTGCAGCGGATGGATGTCCTTGCTAAGGTAAAGGGGGTGCCGAGGCTGGGGGAGCTGGGCACAGGCGCTGCCACGGAGGGGGACACCTAGGAGACGGCCCCACGAGCTCAACCTGCATGTCGTTCGCTCCCCAGAGAGCCACGGAGAAGGGCGTGAGGCTGATGGTGGACGCGGAGCAGAGCTACTTCCAGCCAGCCATCAGCCGCCTCACCCTGGAGATGCAGCGCCGCTTCAACAGGGATCAGGCAATCGTCTTCAACACCTACCAGTGCTACCTGAAGGTGAGGTCTGGCAGGAGGCTGGGCAGAAAGGACCTGCTGGAGCAGCTGGACAGAGACCTTGGCTTCTGAAGCCATGGCGATGCGATGGTGCAACCTGAAGGTGCAGGGCAGAGGCGGCACGGGTGCAGTGACCTCGTGCCATCTCTCCCATCTGGTCCCAGGAGGCTTATGACAACGTGACAGTGGACGTGGAGCTGTCACGCCGGGAGGGCTGGCACTTCGGCACCAAGCTGGTCCGCGGCGCCTACATGGAGCAGGAGCGGGAGAGGGCAGCCCAGATTGGCTATGAGGATCCCATCAACCCCACCTATGAGAAGACCAACGAGATGTACCACAGGTAGGGGACAGCCTCGGCCACGCTCCTCCCTCCCACCCCACTGGGCACGGGCTCGAGCAGCCTCACCACACAGCCTCATACTGTCTTACAGGTGCCTGGACTATATCCTGGAGGAGATCAAGCACAGCCGGAAAGCCAGCGTGATGGTGGCATCTCACAATGAGGACACAGTGAAATTCACTCTGCAGAGGTGGGTGCTGGGGAGGCAGCGTGGCAGCTCATGGGATGTGGGGACCCAGCAGAGCTGTGGTGAGATGTGCGGTGATTTGTCAGGTCTTCTCTGTGCTCAGCCAGTGGGATCCTAGCTCCCGTCTGGTGCTCAGGGCTTCAGTTGGGGCTTGGAGCTGGGGTGCAGCATGGTAGCCTGCAGCAGCTGCAGAGCTGGCCCCATTCCCCAACTCAGTGGCTGTTTTAAAACCAAATCCCTCAGGTCCGAGCATCCATCTGGTACGTGGCGTCAGTGCCATGCTCTTGTACTTGGAGGTGATCCCCGCTCCTCTGGTGGGACGTGCTGCCCCTGCGTGCTCTGCTGTCTCTGCTTTTCCCTAATGCCCAGGCTTGGCTTGCAGGATGATAGAACTTGGGATCCACCCCTCGGAGAAGAAGGTGTGCTTTGGGCAGCTGCTGGGCATGTGTGACCAGATCACCTTCCCCCTGGGTGAGTGCTGGGAGCAGGGGGGACTTGGCAGACGTGCTCCTGCCCCACCTTGGCCCCCGGGGCCTCCCTGAGCAGCTGCTGTGGAGTCTGAAGGATGGACAGAACCAGGCTACGGGTCTGTCAGAGCAGGACTGGCTGAGAGGACAGTTGCCTCTTCCCTGGCTACGTGGAGTGATGTGACCCCTGCATGGAGCTTGGGGAGGATGTAGATGAGGATGTAAATGGAGAATCGCATCTGTCTCCTGAAGGCCCTGTTGAAGCCGTGGTGGTTGAGCCAGGGAGATTCCCGCTTTGGACTATGAGATTGGGGTACTCGTAGGTGGGGCAGAGACTGACCCTGGCAGCCAGCAAACCCCTCCAGTACCGCCTTGCTCTGCTGGAGGTGCACGCTGAGCCCTGGGCTCTCTGCTACCGGGGTGGCAACTGCCTCTTGCATCACCTTGTACTCCCTTCTGCTGCTGGCCCAGGCAGCGGAGCTCCCAGGGGCCCGGACAGAGGGACGTGCAAGGGTCCAGGTAGTCCCAGCTCAGCTCAGGGACTGATCCCCCTGCCCACACCGGTGTCCGGAGCGGAGACCCGAGGCCAGGAGAGCAGCAGGAGGCAGACCGGGCAGTTGTCCAGCGTGGATGCTGCTCCGTCCTCGAGTTCCCCTCGCGAGCCGGGTTTGGCTGCCTGTCCGCAACCTCCTCTGGTCATGCTGGAAGAATGTGTTAACTTGATGTTTCTGCTTGAATGCTTCTTGAATTGGCCCAGCCCTGGCTGCCGACATTCCCAGGGCTCCTGGTGACCTCGGCCCGCTCCCTCCGGCGCGTTCCCAAGCTCCCCGTGCTGAGCTGGGGAGGGGCAAGCCGCCGTCCCCCCCCGCCCCGGGCAGGCTCAGCCTCATCTGGCCGGGGCCGCTCCCAGGCTTCCCCCCCTGGGGCTCAACCGCAGCCTCCGGCCACTGCAACCCTCCCACCACCATCCCTCGCTCCAGCAGCACAGCCTGAGTGGCACAGGAGAGCTGCGGGCAAAGGAGGCTTTTTGGGGTTTTCCCCCTCTTTTTTTTTTTTTTTTTTTAAACTTCCTTTCCCTCTTTTTTTCAATTTTTTTTTTTTTTTTTTTTTTTTGCTTTCTTGGTACTTCCCTGACCAGCCTCTCTCCCTCCAGGTCAGGCCGGCTTCCCTGTCTACAAGTACGTGCCCTACGGCCCGGTGAACGAGGTGCTGCCCTACCTGTCCCGGCGGGCCCAGGAGAACAGGGGCTTCGTGCAGAGGGCGAATCGGGAGCGAGACCTTCTCTGGAGGGAGGTCAAGAGGCGGCTTCTCGCAGGCAGCCTCTTCAGCCCCAACCACTAACCCCCCCAACCATGGCATCCAGCCTGGGGGCTCCTGTGCCTTCGCCTATAACCACTATTGCCCTTCCCCATCCTAGTTCTGCTGCAGTCTTTCCCCTCCCCACTACCCTTTGCACTGGGAAGGGACATGTCCTTGTTGCTGTTTGAACCACATACGCTGTAGGGTTGCCCCAGCTGGCACTGCCCTGAGGGACATCCCTCTGCCATCCCAGGGGCTCCTGAGCTGTGCTTGCCCTGGGCTGCCTCAGGGGAGATGCTGGGGCTCCCCTGCCAGCCCCCCCTGCCTCCCTTCAGTCAATGCTGTCCTGGGATTTTCCCTTTGCAGGACTGCGCAGGGGGATTTGGTTGCCCTGCTTCATGCCGCGGGCTAGGTGGCTTGGGGACCAGCTGGCCACAGCCAGAAGCTTTTCCAGCCTCTGCCAGGGCTGGGGCTTGGGCTCTTCCACCTCTCTGGATGCAGGTGTCAAAGCAGAGGCCACAGTGGCTTATGAAGTGTCACTGGGATGATGGCAGGATGCCACAGGCCAGATGTTCCCAGGCTTTGCCCAGGTCCTGGGCCAGGACCAGGCTCTTCCCCCATCCCACCGGGCTAAAGCAGAGCCAAAGCCCCCTGGGCTTGTCCCTTCTCGGGCACACATCCAGCGGGGCAGGAGGGGCGAGGGGAGCTGGCTGGCCCCATCCCTGCGCTGTTCCTGCCCACAGTCCTCAGCTCTGATGCTGGGCCAGGTCTGCATTGCAGACAGGGGCAGGGGCTGCACGGGAGCACCAGGAGCCAGACCGCGGCTCGGCTCTGCTCTACACTGGATTTGCAGAGAATGGTGATGATTAAATCGTAACTGTTCTTGCTCCTGTCTCTCTCTTGGAGTTATTGGGCAGCCATCTGGCCCCAGGCTGCGCTTCACTGCTCTGGTCCCAAAGTGGGGGTTAGTGCCTGCTCTCAGCTCCCTCCAGCTGCATGCTTTGGCCTGAGCTGGAGCCAGGGCTTGGGGAAAGGAGCCAGAGATGGACTCTACTCAGTGAGGCCAAACTTCCCCCGGCCTGGGAAGGGAGAAGCAGTAGAGCTGTTGGTGATGGGCCCGGGGGGAGCTGGGAGCCCTGGAGCATCCTCCTACCTCTCGAGGGGGATGTCAGCTGTGGGAGAGCCTCTCCCTACTCAGAGATCTGTTTTTGAGGGGGACACACACCCTGCAGTTTTTCACTGCCTCAAGTTAGGGGCAGTTTTGCCTGGGCTCATTTTGGGGTCTGCAGGACCACAAACAAGTTTGTTTTTCCCTGCCCAGCAGCTGAGGCAGCATTTCCTTCTCCCCCAGGTCAGTCCTTCCACTTCTGGTGAGCCACCTCCAACCTCAAGGGGTAAAGTTTAGGCTTTCCAGAGATGCTCACCTCCTGCCTTTTCCCTAGCTGAGACTCCCATGCCTTAAAAAACACCTGGAGGCACAGGGAGGATGGCTGGAGCACAGGGCTGGGGTTGCTGGTATTTAAAAGCAGAGCTGGTGCAGGCAGCAGCTGGGCTCCTGGTATTTCAGGGAGGAGAGGAGGTGTGCTCCCGGCACCAGGCTGCCTCTCCAGCCCGTGCAGGACGCTGCGGCGGTGGCATGGAGACCCAGGGCCGGGGCTGGACCCAGGGCTGGCTGGGTGCACGAGCAGCTGGTGCCCGCTGCAGGCTTCTGCAAAGACCCCTGAGCCCCCCCGGAGCTACTGCGGGAGCAGATGTTGGAGCCTCCACGCCAGCAGCTTCGTGCACCCCTACACAGCTCCTCTTGTCCCCTGCTTTTTTGGAGTTAACCCCCTTCCCAGCCCTCTCTGCAGGGCAGAAAGGACAGCTCCACAGCATGTCTCTGCGGTGCGTGTGCTGCTGTTTGCAGGGGCTGTGCATGGGGTCAGGGTGTCTACCAAAGACACTGGATGCTTTTGCAACACCCCCCCCCCCCCCCAGTTCACCCTTTTCCCAGCAACCTTTACCCATGCTGAGCCAGAAAACAGTAACTGCTCCTTTTATTTCTGGGCGCATTGACCCAACCAAACCTTCCCTCTATCTCAGGCTTTACCCACCCTGCACAATTTTAGCTCTTGCTGCTGGAAGCTGCTTTCTGCTTGTCCCAAAGGAAGAGGAGGCATGAAATGGTGGCGGGTATGCTGGTAGCGTGTGCTGCAGCGCGCTGGCTTGCAAGGCTGCTGGCTACAGCAGCAGGGGGAGTTGCAAGGGGAAAGAGCTGGATCCTTGCGTCAAGCATCTTGGTAGCCTTGTGCTCAAATGCCATGAGCAGCCCAAGCGCACACGTGAGCAGGGGTTTCTTCCAAGGAGCAGAGCTTGGCCGTGTCACGGCAGGATGGTGACAAGCACTTTGTATGGTAAGAGTGTCCCCTGCCCCGCCGTGCAGTCCTGCCTGCTGGAACACCTGCAACGATTTTTGAACTATCAACAAAATGAGATATTTTTCCTTTGTTTTGTGTTTGGAAATACTACAGCGCTGGGTTGGGTTTTTTTCTCTGGTGTTTTCCAAAACACAGTTCAACAGGAGGCAAGCACCTGGCAGGGCATTTCCAGCCTGGAGTCTGGAAAAGGAACTGCAAATGGTGGCATAATTGGAAGCATCAATCCATGCACAGAGGGTGCTGGTGTGGCCTGCTCTGCACAGAGGCACAAACAGCCTCGCCGGGACCAGAGGGAGAGGCAGGATGGGTGGCTGACACCCATGGGCCACGCAACCCCCCACCCCGCCCAGCCCATGGCACCTGCCCTGAGCACCAGAAATGCTCCCTCCGCCTCCTCCCTGCAGCATCCTCAGCAGCTTCTCCAGCCTCTGGCTGCCAGCATCCTCTGAGGGACCAGCCTGTTTCCCTGGTTACAGCCCAAAGCCTGCCATGGCAGGGGTTAACCTGGTGGGAAGGAAAGGGGAAGGGGAAGGGGAAGGGGAAGGGGAAGGGGAAGGGGAAGGGGAAGGGGAAGGGGAAGGGGAACTGGACCACCACAGTCTTCACATCCTGCCCCAAGCATGGGGGCACCCTTCAGACAGGTCCCGCAAGCAGGATGGGGCAAAAAGGGAGACAGGGATGTGGAGGCAGGGGAAGCCAGGCAAGGGATGCCACTTCCCAGCGCTGCTGCTGAACATGTGGAAGGGGATGGGGGCACATGAAAGGTGCAAGGGCTGCAGAGGGGGAAAAGTGGGAACTACCCAATGGCCACAAGCCCATTTGAAAGCTCAGGTCTGAAAGGGAAAGTCAGTGGATTATACCGGGTAAACCACCAGATCTTTCCTCTGTAGCAAGGATGCTGCCAGTGGGATGTGGGCCACAACCTGCCGATACACCTGTGGCACAGGGAATGGGGTAAAGGCAATCTCAAGCATGGTCACTGCCATCCAAGTCCCTGCCGGTGGCCCGATGCCAATGTCACTCAGCAGGAAGGAGGAACGTGCTCGGCTTCACCTGCCCGGCTTCATGCCACAGAGGGTCCTGGCTGCTCCCTGCTGTGGCATCACAGCACAGCCGCGGGGCGCCTGGCTCACGGCACCCTGCCAGACAGGACGTTACAAACCCAGAATGTCGAAACTGCAGGTTGTCGGTGGCTTCTGGGGCGGTGTCTGAAAGTCAGTGCAAAGAATGCATGCGTGCAGGCTGCAGTCCTGTAGATTCGAAACCGCCTGTGCACTTTACACAAGCCACTGCCCATGGCTGGGCACTGTGAGCGGTGGCGAGACTCTTGCAGTCACATTTATGGGGATGTAACTGGAAAAAAAAGAATAATTCCCATCGGTAAAACCTCCAGGCACTCCCCTATTGGGAATCTCTTGTCTGAGCAGCAGAGAAGCCTTCCGTGCACATCAGCCCCATATACTGCAAACACCGAAGGATGTTGGTGGTGAGAACCCACCAGACTCATTTACTATTTGCTTGTTGAAGAGATCCTAGGGCTGGGAAGGTGCTCAGGACACCCCCCAGGACTCCCTAATCCTCTCCAGAAGGATGCTGCCCAACTCATGCCGTGACGGAGGCTCCACATCCCCAGGAACCCCCTGGGGGTGCGTGACCCTAGATCCAGCTCCACAGGAGATGCACACTGCCCGCAGCTCCTTGGATGCAGCCAACGTTCAGCAGGAGATTGATGCAGCTATTCAGCAGCATTTGTGCTACCACACGGGAGACGGTCAGTGTGTCCTGCATCCATGCTTTCACCACATAGCTATCAGACGTCCCTGGAGCTCAGACAAGCTGGGACTGTCTCTTGCAGGAAAACCAGCTGCCACAGGGTGGTGGCCAAGGAAGCCCTGGGCCATTCGGTATTGCTGTACTGTCAGGCTGAGGAGGCTTATTGACCAGGCTGCCCCACTGGGTGCTAGGGTTGTGGGACCGCTGTGAGAGCCCAGTTGTGTCCCCCTGATTTCCAGCTGTGTCCTACGGTAAGTTAACCAGTGGCTGCTCTGAAGCCTTTCTGTCCCTGTTCAGGGTTGTGACCCCTTGGCTCTGCTACTGCAGGCACCACTTGGCTCCCACGGGTCCCTGCGTGGCTCCCTGGTCCAGGGGCTGTTGGACACATGGAGATAGATGCCAGACCACCACGACAGCTGGACCCCAGGACCATCATGAACCTGGGGCTTCTGGACGCCCAGGACAGCCAGACCCTGGGGCTGCCGGGCACCTGGAGCTGCTGGATCCTCAAATCAGTCGGACCCCTGGGCTGCCAGACTCCCGGGGCTCGGGAGTTCCCAGGCCACCAGGCCAGCTGGACCCTGAGCCTGCCACACATCTGGGGCGCCCCGACCCCGTAGGACAGCCACATCCCAGTCCTGTTGCACACCTGGGGCTGCCGGAACGCCGGGACAAACAGACCCTGGGGCTGCTGGACCCCTGAGACAGCCCGACCCCAGGGCTCTTGGGCACCCCGGGCTGTTGATCCCCCGGAGCTGCCGGATCCCCCGGACAGCCAGACGCCGGGGCTGCCGGACACCCAGGGACTCCCGGGGACCTGGAGCTGCCAAACCACCGTGACAGCCCAACCCCGGTGGCTGCGGGACACCGGGGCCATCCAAACCCCGCAGCCACCGGGCTCCCAGGACTCCCGAGCACCTGGGAGCTACTGGACCCTCGGGCTGCGCTGGAAGCCGGCGCCGCGTTCCTCCTCCGCCGGTCCCGGGGGGGTTGCCCACCCGGTAGACCCCCCCCCCCCCCCGCCGGGGCCGTCGGGGCGGCGGCCCCCGGAGCCTGGCCCGCCGTCAGAGGAACCAATGCGGAATTTCCTGGCTGGCGGCGGGGCCCCTCCCGCCGCTGCCGAGAGGGGCGCGGGGGAGGCGGCGGCGGAGCGCTCGCACTGCGGCTTCCGCCCGCCGAGCAGCGGGCCGGGGCAGGGCGGGCACCGGGCACGGCGGAGCCGGGGCGGAGGGGGGGGGGGGGGGGTTGGAAGGTGTGTTTTGGGGGGGGGGGGGGAGAGGCGGGTAGCGCCCGGCCCCCGCATGGGATGGGCCGGGTCAAACCGGGCCCCGCCGCTCCGCCGGTGATGGCGGCCCGGGGGTTGCGGCCGCCCCGCCGCGCCCGAGCCGGAGCCGGAGCCTCCGCGCTGCTGCCGCTGCTGCTGCCGCTGCTGCTGAGCCCCGGAGCCGCGCAGGAGCTGAGCCCCCGCGGCAGGAACGTCTGCAGGGCCGGCGGGTAGGAGCGGTGGGGCGGGCAGGTGTGGCGGGACGGGACGGGACGGGACCCCCCCGAGCCCCGGGGCGGCGTGGAGAGAGTGGGGGGGGGGGGGGGGGGGGGGCGACGGGACATGGGACACGGGACACGGCCTCGCCGCTCCCCTCCCCCGAGGCAGCCGCGGCGCTGGGCGCCTTCCAAAACAAAGTCCGGCTTGTGCGGGG